CTACATCGAAAGCGTTCTGGTCGTTTGTCACGTTGGCTGCATGCACATTGAACTGAAGGTAATCAGATGGCTGAAGGTATCTCCCCCCCCTCCCTCCTGTGAACATGCCACAAATGTCTTTCTTTATTAGAGCAGCGGCTCCTGAAGTGGTCTCCGCTCAGTCTCATCGTCACACGATGACACACAACAAAATTGGGGAGGATCCTAATTGCATAATGTGTCAGTTGAGATTATCACGTTGCATGGCATCCGAGTTGCTTCAAGTCAAGTTAAGGTGCATGATTCCATTCAGAAAGAATAGATACATTTGCAGCCGAAAATTAAAAGGTCTGAGGGTTTGTTTTTTTTTTTGTTTTTTTTTTTCAAACTTGATAAAATGTGCATTGCTTAAAGAGTGTTTAGCTATTAAATGATGAAGTTAGAGCGAGAGTTTCAGTGGCATTTGTACATTACATCCTAATAGAAGTGAGCTGTTTTTGACTAAGTACAAAGATCGATTTACTTTTAGGCACATTTTGTGACCTATTAGAGGTTTAACGACCTCTACTGGCATATAATTCTTACTGGCAGTAATGATAAGTTATCATCTGCTTCAGAGCTTTCTGATGTAGTACCACTATAGGACTACGGGAATACTTTCAGACAAGTTATGAAACTTGTTTTCTTTATTGTATTTTGGAAAACAAGGACATAAACAGGATTCATGTTTTCGTCTTGTGAGCTTGATGTATTATCAACCCTCAAATAGGACTAAGTCCCTCGGGTCCGTCGGTAGATTCAGAAAAACTACTCTAAAAATGAAAGGCCTCAATCAGCTCATTTCAAGTGTTTTAGTTAGTTCAGGTATTTCGTTTTGAACTTGCCTTTTCTTTCATGATAGAACCAAATAACTGCTGAAAAACGGGTCTAATCTAATTCAAGCATGAATGCTAAGCAGCCCCACTGATAGCTTAAAATATCACATGCAGCATTTATGTTGAGGCGGTTGTAAATAATATGCTACAAGCTATGATGTATTGCATTCGCATAATTGATTTTGTCTTCTCAAAACAATTAAACTTGTTATCTAAGATCTTTAACAATACCTAATCCTTTTTATATCCACAGCATACTGCAGCTTTGGTATCAAAGAAGCAAATAAATCTGTTGTGAAACTTTGGCTCATATTATTATACTGTACTGGGAAGTTTCCCTTTTATGAATTCTGCAAACCTGGAAAAATAAACCTCAATTAGTTCAATCAGCCTAAATCCTACAGTTGGACTAATTTAATAAGATTGTGTGTCTTTGCCAATTTAGTTAACCATTATAACAGAAAACACCCTTTACCCAGTGTAATCTGAAAGTAGATGCAATACACCTTGATCTGAAATGTGACAGTATAAAACTTTGCAATCTCCTTCAAGCCTACTGCTAATTGTCTTGCATTTTCAGTTTGTTTACCTTACTTAGACTCGCATCGCAAATCGGTGCACCTTGAGGGATTTCCATCTGTCTGTCAACTGTCATTGGCAGATGAACATGCCTGCGGGCTGGAAGAGGCGTGTGCGTGTTTGTGTGTGCGCGTGTGGATGCGTGTGGATGCGTGTGGATGCGCGTGTGAGTGCAGGTCTGTGTCCATCAGTGCTTGCCGATGTCCTGCCGTTGTCATGATAAACCTGTGACAGCTGCCATCCGGCAAGCAGCGCTCTCACACACCAGACACACACCTAACGCACAATGCTTCATTGCCTTCCTGAAAGTATGATGGCACCTCAGCAGGTCTTGGTTTGGCCTGGTGGGTCACTTACACAAATCTCCTCAACTGTCTAGTGGTGAAATGACTGTCTGGGTAGCTGAATGGTCTTTCTGTCTTCCTGCCTCACTGACTGTCTGTGTTTGTTTTATTTTATGTCTTTTTGTTTTTTTTTTACCCCCTCCCACTCCCTCTCTCTCTCTTTTTTTTCTGTGGAACTGATCCAACAGACAGTAGATGAATGTCTTGCAAAGAATAAATAACACCTTTCTTTTCTATTCATTGCATCAGTAACTTCTACTACATTTTCAGTCAGAAGTTCACATGCACTCATACTTGGTTCAAATTTTGTATGAATTATGGCATTTTAGTTATATGTTCGAATCGGTTCAATATGTGTCATTTGTTGGGGTGCTGAATGCTGCTGTCAGCCATGTTTGAAACAATATTGAGAAGCAGCCTTAGTCCTATCTAAATATATATATATCTATATTTATAAAAAGGTGACCCGTGTCAAGTCACACCTGATCCATATGGCTTGTTAAAAAGTTTAAACCATTCATGTGTTGGCTTTAATTACGGCTGAAGTATTTAGAGGTTAATCTATCATCTTGATTATTCCATCCACTTTGTGGTATGCACCAGAATCAATAGCAGTGAAACACACCTTCATCAGCGTGTGTGGTAATTGGTTTAGTCTTCTTAAGCTTAATAGTCTCGCTTTGACTTCTCCAAGCATCGTATTCATCACAGTAGCAAAAAAAAAAAAAAAAAAAGCTAAGTATTTCTTTCTTCTGACCAAAACATAATGCCAGAAGACATTTGGATTATTATGTGTGCAGGAAAAATTTAAGTTGAGTTTGAAGTTTCATTACTTCAAACCCATTTTGAAGTAATGGATTCTTTTTTTTTTTCTTGGTGAAATCCTTGCAGCATTGAACTGGCTTTAGGTGTTCCAACATCGTCCAGCTGGTGAACATCTTGAACATTTGACAATTCTTGGGCTCTTCTTTTTCTTCCTCGGTGACAGTGTGGATCAGATGATTGAAACCTGGGCAAGGTTGTGGATTCCAACACTTCAATTATAAAACCCATGTCAAAAGTGGTTTGTTCCTGAATGGTCTTAACTCCAACCTTATTTTAAACAAAATGTGAACAATGTTTGAAAGCTGCGGTCATTGCAGGAAACCAGCCAATATAAACCGAGCTTATGATTTCTGATCGGACGAGTGCTGACACAATCAGCCAATACATATCTGCCCATACTTTTGCATTTGAGTTTAATCTGTAAATTGTTGTCCATGTATTAATTGGAGGATTAATACCATGAATTCAAACTCGTTTGCCTAATTTTTCTTTTTGAACTTTTGTTGAAAAAGATGTAACCATTACATCCTCAAAATTCTGCCATTCAAAGAAAGCAAGAAAAGTCCAAAATTAGCAACCATGCTGAGTGTATGTGCACTGTATGTACAGTGTGGATTTCCCTCACTGATCAACTGAAGCAGTCTCGGCCCACCATAAAGTTAATTTTAAACCAATTATTTTGTTTTCCACTCCGTTTGTTGCTTTCGTCTTTGGTACAGTCTGTGCCAGTAATTTTACCTTCTTCAAAATTAACCTCTCAATTCTCTTTTCTTTGTTTAGTGCCCGCCTCTGTTTGGTCCCTGTTTAATTCTAACCCCCTATATTCCCTGTGTCGTCTTTGTCCTGAGAATATATACATATATATTCTCATTACTCCTTTCTTGTGGGTGGAATTTGGCTTGATTCCTTACCTTATCTCTGTCATCTGTACATGCATCTCCTCCCCCACCCCACCTCCCCACTTCTCTTCCTTACAAGCCAGCATTTCGTGGATGAGCCTAAAGCATGTGCATGTACACCTGACAGTGCCTGTCTGCACTCTTATAAAGGATGTCGTTTTTCAGCTTCTCAGAGAGTGCACTTTAAGGATGACTCCCATCTGGTGTGTACACAATAACTGTCTTCTCTAAACGCCGTCGATATCAACATACGATGGGCGGCAGAGCAATCTGGTGTCATCCAAATTTGCACTTTCTGGCAGGCCATGAAATACCTGTCTGCTATAAGAGTGTGCTCCATGAATTATTGCCTCTTGAATGTATAAATTATACAGGAATAATTTATACTAAAGTTAGAGTTTGACTCTTGGGGAAAAATGTTCAACATTGTGTGTTTTTTTTTTGTTTTGTTTTGTTTTGTTTTTTGGTCAATGGGACTCTGGCTGGGCACATTTTGTGTTGGTTTTCTTTCCAATGTAAATAATATGCGAGTACTCCTCATGGTTTATCCATCTCAGGTCATGTATAAGACCAAAGCCAGTGTACCATTGACTCAATAGGATGCAATGTGGAATGCTTTTCTCAGTGAGTGTCTGTATAAATTATATGTATAATTTATGCCATGTACACAGCGCAATCCATGTGTCTTTATCTGTTAAACAGTAATCACTACTACAAGCAGCTACGCAAGGCTATCAATCAGACGTGATCACCAATTATGAGAAAGTTTAGCGAAAAATACTTTCATTGCATTTGTTTAAAATGTTTTCAAAACCATTTGAAGTTCGATAGGATATGATTCTTAATCCGCCAATTGGCAATCGATTCAGTCCAAACTTCCTAGGTGGTGATTGGAGGAGATGAGAGCGGAGCTTACAATGAGAAACATAACGTATTATTGATTTTGTATGAGGAGAGGACAGCAGCTGTGAATGCGACAGAAACCGCAGCCTAACCCATGAGACCAACTTCTAATTCTAACTGGCCGTAACATAAAGTGCAAAAAGTTATTCTACAAGACTGTTCAACTGTGCCATCGACATGTTTTTCATGTTTACTTCATACCTAAGGAGTGATTGTGAGATCTCCATATTTTCACGATATAGTTTGCTAATATGATCTCATAGTTTATCATGAAACAGTCATTCATTTCTAACATTCAATAACAGACATAGAGCAAAACATGGGAAACTAAAAATTAAGGCAACAGGGAAAAGCCACCTCCTAGAGGGAGAGAGTTGGGGAGTTGGGCTGGCTGACTTGGATTTTTGAAGCGACTTTACGTGTATTACAAATTAGATTTTGGAATGCTAATCTGATAAATTATGTTGAGTTTAATTAACTCATCAAATCTTAGAAAATGAAATAATAATTAAAAAAAAAAAAAAAGTCCGCCCCCTCAGTCCCTCCTCCTCTCCCTAACCCAGGTTTTCTATTTGTCACTCTGATTTGATTGACAGCTGAGGACACATGTGGGGGCACTGTGAGGGGCGGCAGTGGGGTGGTGACCAGTCCCGGTTACCCCGGCAACTATGGTAACCAAGCCGACTGTACTTGGATCCTTTTGGCCGAACCCGGAGACACCATCTCTGTCATCTTTACAGACTTCCAGACCGAAGAAAAGTATGACTACCTGGAAGTGGAGGGCTCAGAACCACCGACCATCTGGTGAGTTTTGTTTTTTTTTCTCTTTTCTTTGCTTACTTTTAAATGTCTGCGTGTTGCTTTTAGTACAAGTGGGTATTTGTGACAAAATGTGTCGATGTTGTTTGTTCTGAATTTCTTGGTTACGCAAAGTTTGATTGTAAGCGTGTGAGATTTCTCATTAATCCCATTCTCAAGATCCATAATGGCTGCTGTGAGCTATGAATGTATCTAATGACTTATGGATAAGAGCTGCTTAATGATAATAACAATAATTATCAGCATATGTTTTTTATTTATTTATTTTATACATAAAATAACATGAAACTTGATATGGCATTCTTTCCTGTCTCTGCTTTGTAAGGTCCCAGTGTTTTGTTATTGTCGGTGTTTAGCTGCTGTTTGTGGAAAATATGGCTGACTTACAGTATATTGTTTTTTGTATTGCAGTGCTTGTGTTGTCTTATGTGTATGTGCTTGCTAATTTGGCATTAAAATAAAAACAACAAAAAAATAGAATAAAACAAGATTACACCTGCTGTGATAAACTTGTTAGTTTGAAACTGGTTTAAGTCTGAGGCGAGTGGACTACTCACTTACATTTCAGAAAAAATGTGGAGAAGATTGGAGTGTCAGTTCAATGTTAATTATGTATAAGACGACTTGCAGAGTACCCCATAAGGCAACTGGGTTCGTCTTAATCTGTAGCCGCGAAACTAAGATAAAATTAAGCTAAAGTCAGGAAAGTTTTAGCCATGTTTTAAAAATAGTTTTCTTTTTTATGAAAACCCATTTTTTCATAGATGCAGGCAGGGTACAGCTGACATATCCAATCAAATGCCGGGCAGCCGAGCACTGTCTCCTGATATAATAATCATGCTGGCCCTTATCCATACTTTACTGAAAAGAAAAGTTTGCTTGACATTACTGACCTGACATTTCAGTCGTTGCTAACTTCATGGCACAATTTTACCACACCAAGGAGTGCAGCAAAAAAAAAAAAAAAAACATATTGTGAGTAGTACCCAAGTAGGAAAATGTAGAAAAGAACAAAGAAAATAATATGAATACGAAATAAAGTTTATGTTTTTGTGAAAATAAAGCAGTTGGTATTGACTCTAAGTGAATAGCTATTATTTACGTTTGTATATGGCTCATACGTCACAGAGGGATTAACTGATCTCTGATGGTTCTACTTTCAACAGCACTTCATGTATTTTCAAATAGTTCACTCATAACATTTTATTGCTCTGGCTGTTTATTGATTGTTGGTAAATTAGGGTATTGATCAACCATTGCTGTTGCTGTAACCAATTTGAGTCTAATCATGGTTAGGGATATTAGAGTGTGTGTATTGATTTGGAAGTAATAATGGTAACTGCTCCCAGGCAAGCCTGAGCGTTTCTGCACAGGTGCAAACCCCCATCACGCTGCTTTTACTTGCTAGGAGTTGTGGAGAGAGAAGAAAAAAAAAAAAAACAAAGAAAAAAAGCCCAAGAAAAACAGTATGGGTAAGTTAGCTGTAACATAGCAACTACTGAAATGTGATGAAGCTTTAATAATATTTTTAAACTAATTTTGCTCTTCTATACACAATATTATATCATGCAATAGTCTGCATACTCTGTGAGTTATTCATTTATTTTTTGATTAATGCTGCATTAAATGAGTGCTGCACACACACACACAAAAAAAAACACAAACACACTTATGGTGATTCGACCTTTATAGTATGGCTAAGTGTAATGATGGGGATGCAAACAGCTCCACATTTGTAGGGCAAATCCATTGAAGCAGTGCAGATGAGGTGCCTGTTGAAATATACCATGGAATGGATGAGAAATCAGCAAATAAGTTATTTATGGGCTGTGAGGGGACTGTGGCACTTTCATTTCTTTCACTTTGGGTTTAGGCTTTCCAGATTTGTGGTGATCTGGCTACTTTTTAAATAATTATGAGGGGCCTGGAGACCAAGAGTTGCTAGGATACTCTACCTGCAATGTTTCACAAATTATTTCTTATGCTGCGTTTTTGAAAGCCTTTTTGTGATTTAACAGAAATTAAATAGCATATTGACAGCAATGAACCTTTAAGCTGAAAAGGGGCATGCACAATGTGATTAATTAGAAACTGATACGTCTCTTAACTTCTCTATGTAGTTTTTGCTGGACTTCTCAGTTTTACATGTGCATGGGTTTACATACTGCTCCTTCTATGTAAGAAGGATTTTAAGGCCTGGCATTTTCTAATTTTCCTTCCAATTGTACAATTTTCTCAGATTTAAGCATTTACTGAACTGATCAGGTTCTGGGTTTGGACAGAAAGTGGGGTTAAAAGTCCACTGAGGAACTGTTTAGTGACCTTCAGAAATCCCGAAGAGCTATTGATCAAGACCACTTTGAAAATTGGCAAGCTGGTCTGGCTGCTTTGTAGGAAAGCATAATGAAAATTGGGCTGTTTTAAAACTTATATCAGTGTACTGTACCTTAGGCGTTAAACGACATTACATGTTTTTTTTGTGTTTTCCTTTTATGCTTCTTCATATGTAGGTGTGGTCATGAGTATGTCTCCATGTTTTTCTAATCAGGCTGGTATGTTTTGTTTTTTTTCCCCCTGTGTCTTATCATTAGTTATTTTTGTCCTTGTGAAAATTCTTGCAACTTCATATCAACATAAAGCCACTCGGTAAACAGAAATCCCTCCATGCTCCTGAACTGTAAGCAACAAATATTTACCTACTTTATCATCATTATGTTTGTAAAAGGACTTAACACTGAAATAGCATAAAGAGTGTAATACTTTGTTTCAAAAACTTTCTCTAACAGTTTCTTTGCTGATGAGCAGCTAAATTTGGGTCTTATATATTTACACTTCTGTGTCGCCTTGCATGCCAATCACTGTAAGTATAACTGCAAGATGTCACCAAATTGAGAAATATCTTCACTTTACTCATCGCTTACCTGCTGTGTATCATTTTGTATCACACAGGCGCCGTGCAGCAAAGAAAAAAAAAATACTAAAACATCTGTTCTGAAATTTAAACCTTTTAACCTTCTGCTGTTGTATTATCTCCATGAATACCCAGTCAAGTTGTCTGATTCCTTTGGAAGTGCCTCCCGTCACCAAGTGCTAATATACCGAGGTCCATTGGCAATGTTAGAAAAGAAGCTAATTATGGAAATGCAAATTTTTAAATGAGCAGAGGAAGCTAATGGCTGATATTCTGATACAGAAACGTGGAAGAGTGTGCGTTTATCGGATGCTGCAGGGCTGCAGTTTCTTGCACACCAACATATATGGACGCAGTGTTCATCGACGTTTCAACGCAGAAGCCCACAGGCTCGTTGTCACTTCTTACACACTGTTCACAAACGTGCACACTCGCTCCTCATGTGTCTCATCAGCATTCAGCGAGGTGTGCTTGGGCCTATGAGACAACCATGTCCCAATGAGTTAAATGCTATAATGATTTCCAACGCTAGGCACACCCAAACGCACACCTTTTATGTTTTGTTGTTTCACAGTCGGTTGTCCTTGAAACTAAGCAGAGCATCTTTAAAGAAAAGTATCTCCCTTCACCTCAGTTGTACTTTTAGTCTTTGTTTCGTCCATCCGACCGTCTGTAACTTTTCCCCTTCCTTACAGCACAAGATTTTTCACATTTTCTACATGGCCACTGAAATGCAGTACTATTTCGTGTTCTTGGGTGCAACGGCATGACAACTTGGCAGAAAATTGTTAAATGGTGGACAGGGCTGTACAAAGTGCTGTCATTTTCTTGTCTTCTGTTTGTCTTAGGATTGAGATTAAGCTCTAAAGGAAATTAGATATGCCAAGTTTTGGAAAAGGATTCATCAAGTCAAATTACTGTAAGAAAGACAGATAAGAAGACAGTTAATTTCAGCCCGGTGATGCTGTGATTCTGTTATTTAGGAGAATATATATATATATATATATATATATATATATAATATATATATATATTATATATATATATATATATTATATATATATATATTTTTTTTTTTTTTTAATAAATAGAAGTCTTTCTAAAGGTGTTTCATTGTTTTTAATCTTATTTTGTATTTTAGCCGTTGAAAAGCCGATTTTCGGCGCTTCCAAATATGAAGATATTAATCACATGATTGCTCTTCAGGGATCACATATTTATTACCTGCATTTCTCAGAAGGGTCAAGTACACGACTACAGCAGCTGCTTATTATTATCATGCCAAGATTATGTGACTGTGAGAATTTATGCTCACAGTCAAATGTTTATGGAAAGCATTTACACTTCTGTATATTTAGGCAGTGTTTTGTAAATATCGTGCTTAGGATCCTTAGTCTTTTGTCCAAGCTATCGCTGCACTTTGAACTAATTTCGTTATGAAATATTGTAAGCTGGTTTCCAAAATTACAAAGATTTTCTACCCATGTCCTTTTTCTTTACTAGTTAAGCATGTTTTTTTTTTTGTTTGTTTTTTTTTTTGCAAAATTATTATCTTTTCCAAATACTTATTATTGTTTCCACAAAAAGTTGTTTTTATCTTCTAACTCTATCGTTAAGGTCACATTTATGCATTTGCACATTTGAACAATGCTGCTACACACCAGAGCCTGCTTAATCTTCTTGAAAGTCTTTTTCTCACTCAGGGAAACACTTTGATTTCTCTTCCCAGCAATCTTTTGAGCATCTTTATTGAAATATGTTCTTTTTCTTCTTCACTTCGTTTTGACCTGTTTTCTTACAAGTATATGTCATTTAGAGCAATGACAACTGAACAAAGATCTATCTGGAGATGCTTTGCTGTCATCCTTAAGGCTCCTTTCTGCTTTGTAGGCATAAATTATGTTTATTAATAGGCAGGTGCTTTGAGGAGTCCAATGACTGCTAATAGTTGGGACAGGGTTTTAGAACTGAAAGGATTTTCGAAAGCTTTGAATTGCATACCGTTTGGCCTTTGCTAACAACGCATCTGAATTAGGCACAACCTTTGCAAGATAATTAAAGTCTAAAATCTCGC